GTGTGGTGTCATGATCATGGTTCACTGCAGCTTCAAACACTTTGACTCAAGAGAACCTCTCACCTCAGCCTCCCAATTAGCTGGGACTACAGGTGCACACCACAATGCCTGGCTATTTTGAAAACAATTGGTAGAGTTGGGGGTCTTGCTATGTTGTTCAGCCTGGTCCTGAACTCCTGGGCCTAAGCAATCCTCCTGTATTTGCCTCCCAAAGTGCTGGGTTTACATATTTGTGCCGCCTTGTCCAGATCTTTTATCTCAAGAAACTCTTCAGTTTCAGGTAAACCAGACCAGTGGTTCACCCTAGGTAGAGCATGAAAATTCACATTTTTAAGAAGTTCGCAAATGATGCTGATACTGCTGATCCAGGGACACATATTGAGAACTACCAGTCTGTACCTGTGTTTCTCATCTTTGGCTGTCCATTAGAATTACTTGGGCAGTTTAAAAACAATATTCATTCTGATCAAACTGATCTCAGGTGCAGCTGGGTAATTACCCTTGTTAAAAGCTTCTAAGGTGATTCTAGAATACAGCCAGGGTTAAGAACCACTGCTCTACATCCATGAAGCTAATGACTGAACACTTTGACTCTGTCCTGTTAACATCCTGTAATTGTCTTGCCATCTTTACTGCCACTGCTGTGATCCAAGTCATCATTTCCTGCATGCCTGGTTGCACTCATCGCATGACTGACTTCCCTCCCTTCATGTTTCTCACACCATCTCTGCTTAGTTCTTTATGTAGCTGCTGAAGGAATCTTAATAACAAACTTGATTATATAACTCCCTTCCTGAGGATCTGATGGACTTATATTAGTGTAATTCATTTTATCTGTTTTAAAAAGCAATTGCCAAATCCCAGCCACTTACCACAACAAATGTTTATTCCATTGGCATGCCGTAGTCCAGTGGCTATTCTCCAGAACAACTCTTTTTCCAGAACTGTGGTGGCAGCAATTCTGCCATCATGTAGCTTCATTACCCCTAGGGCTTCCTTGGAGTCCTTCCTTGCATTACTTCCATTTAGTTAACTGAGAGGTGAATGGACACAGTGTGGGGCATGACACAGGATATGTAGAGGCTGGCCCCTGATGTCACATACATCAGTTCTGCACATATTCCATTGGCCAGAAAAATCTTGTGGCCCCAGCTAGATGCCAGGTGATGTGGAGAATGTCTTCTTGTGTGCCTAGAGTGAAAATGAAATAGCACAGTGATTATAAAGTGTTGTCTCCATTACAACTTTTATCAGAATAATACAAACTTAAACACATTGTGTATAATTTATTGGGTTGTATTGACACTCATTAAAATTACTCCTCATTGCCTTCAGTATAAAGTCCAAAGTCCTGTTCTTGACCTACAGTGATCTTAAGATTCTGTTCCTGACTCACTTTCCAGTCTCAGCTTTTGATACTTTACACAGGAATTCCCCGTCCCTATTCCCAAAATGTCCCATGCTGTCATGCCAATTTGGGGTCTGAAAAAGCTTTCCTCCTTTGTTCACTTACCTCTCTCCTACTAGCTCCTCAGAGCTCAGTTCAAGAGTCACCTCAGAAAGTTTTTTCTGAATCTCCGTCACCCTCTACTTCCCAATTTGAAACCGTTTCTCCTATTCTCTATTGCAGTAACCCCTGGCATTCCACACACATAGACCTCATTGCATTGTATATCTTTGACATGGTCCAGAACATCTTGATTGTGATCATCTCATGAGTGTCAAAAGTGACTTTTTATCATTATCTTTAATACTACATGATACCTGGTATGTAGCAGACCTTGAATAAATACTTCTTTGAATAAATGAATGACCATTTAAAGACAATTTTTAAAAAGCCTTGATCTCATACTACAGAGTAGTCAAGATGGTTTCCATTGCAATTTGATAGGTGTAAGCAAAGAGTCCCCTACTTCAGGCACTTCGGTGTGTTGAACTGTTGAATATCCCTTTTATATTGCAATGGGGTGCTGTATTAACATGTATTCACCATTAAACACAGCCTTTCTTGGATTGGTTTCTCAGTTTGTGTATCCAGTTATTAGGCAAACTCCATCAGAATAGGACCCAGGAGAAGTGTTTTAGTTACAGCTGAGATTTTACAACATAAAAATATATTCAAATGATGGGCTATTTAATGAGCAAAGACCTAGATTTTATACCACGCTAGAGGTCTTAGATAGCTAGAGATAGCATAAGGACATATGACTGAGGTCCAAAGGACACACAAATAAATGGGTAAGGACAGAGGGGCAGGACAAGATAGCAGAACAGACGCCTCCACCAATTGCCCCCCCCAACCCCCACAATAAGGACACCAACTTAAAAACTATCTACACCAAAAAAAAAAGTACTTTCATAAGAACAAAAAATAAGGTGAGCACCCACGCAGTACCTGGTTTTAACTTCATATCACTGAAAGAGGCACTAAAGAGGTAGGAAAAGCAATCTTGAATCAATCACCAATGACACCCTCCCCCATCCCCCACAGTGGCAGTGAGGTGCAGAGAGCATTTTCCCATGCTGGGGAGAGGAAGACACAGCATTTATGAGACATTGAACTCAGTGTTGACCTATTATAACAGAAAACAAAACTGAGCCAAACTCAGCTGATGCTCAAGGGAGGGAGCATTTAAACCATCCCTAGCCAGAGTGAAATTGCTGATCCCAGTGGTCCAAATGTGAGTTTCTACAGCCCTTACTACTCTGGGCTAAAGTGCTCTGGAGCTCTACATAAACTAGAAAGATAATCTAGGTGACGTGGACAGCAACTCCTAGGTAAGTCGTAGTGTTAAACTGGACCCAGAGACAATAAACCAGGGGCATGCAACATACAGAGACACCAGAGGAGTGGCTAAGGGAGTGCTGACACCACCACTCCCCTAACGCCAAGCTGCACAGTTCATAGTTTTCAAAGAGACCCCTTCCCTCTTCTTGAGGAGAGAAAGGAGTGGGAGCAGACTTTGTCTTGGATCTTGGATACAGCTCAGACACAGCAGGACAGGGCACCTGTCAGGGTGTTGAAGCCCCTTTCCAGGCCCTAGTTCCTAAATGACATTTCTAGATACACCCTGCCAGAAGGGAACCTGGTGTCTTGAAGGGAAGGATTCAGTCCAGGCAGAATTCATCACCTACTAACTGAAAAGCCCTTGGGACCTGAATAACCAGCAGTAATACCCAGGTTCTACATTAAAGATCCTGAGTGAGACTCAGACTTGTTGGCTTCAAGTGACATTCAGCACATTCCCAGCTGTAATGGCTACAGGGTGAGACTCCTTCCACTTGAGAAAATGGAGGAAAAAGCAAAGGGGACTTTGTCTTGCACTTTAGGCACTGACTCAGCTACAGGGTGGTAGAGCACCAAGCAGGCTTCTGGGGTCCCCAGTTGCAGGACTTGGCTATTGAATGGCATTCCTGGTCCTGCCCTGGGCCAGAGGAGATCTCATTGCCCTGAAGGGTGAGTGCCAGGCCAGGCAGTAGTTACCACAAGCTGACTAAAGAGCCCTTGGGCCTTAAAGGAACATCAGTGATAGCCTGCACTATTCTTTGTGGGGCTGTGGTGGTAGTGGCCATGGGGTGAGGCTCCTCTGCCTTTAAAGAGAAAAGGGAAGAGTGAGAAGGGCTGTGTCTTGTGGTTTGAGTGCCAGCTCAGCTGCAGCCACAGTACAGTAGAACACCAAGTAGATGTCTTAAGGATTTTTATTCTAATCCCTGGTTCCCAGACAGCACCTCTGGAAATGCCCAGGGCCTGGGAGAACTGGCTACCCTCAAGGGAAAGATGTGGGCCAGGTTGGCATTGCCACCTGCTAATTGTAGAGCCCAAGGGCCTTGAGCGAACATAGGTAGTAGTCAGGGAGTGGTTAAAGCAGGCCTTGGGCAGAACCCAGTGCTGTGCTGGTTTCAGGTCTAACCCACAGGGGTGCTTGTGTCACATCACCGCCAGCTCTAGGTGTCTCAGAACAGAAAGAGATACTTTGTTTATTTGGGAAAAATTAAGGGAGGAGAACATGTCTCTGCCTGGTAATCCAGATAATTCTTCTGGATCTTTTCCTAGACCATCAAGGGGGTACCTCTACAAGTCTGCAAGAACCACAGTGTTACTGGGCTTGGGGCTCCTCCTAAAGTAGAGTCAGTTTAGATCACAACACATAAGTCCTTTAGAATATCTGGAAAGCTTTCCAAAGAAGGATGGGTACAAATAAGCCCAGAAGGAGAAGACTACAGTAAATATCTGACTATTCAATGCCCAGACACCAAAGAACATCTAAAAGCCTCAACACCATCCAGGAAAACATGACCTTGTCCCGTGAACTAAATAAGCCACCAGGACCCAATCCTAGAGAAACAGAGATATGTGGCCTTACAGCAGAGAATTCGAAATGGCTGTGCTGAGGAAACTCAAAGAAATTCAAGATAACACAGAGAAGGAATTTAGAATTAGGCAGATTTAATGAAGAGATTAAAATAATTGAAAAAATCAAGCAGAAATTTTGGAGCCAAAAAAATGCAATTTCTATATGGGAGAATGCATCAAGGTCTTTTAATAGCAGAATTGATCAAACAAAATTAGCTTGAAGACAGACTACTTGAAAATACACAGAGGAGGCAAAATAAAAAAATAAAAAATGAAGCATGCCTACAGGACCTAGAAAATAGCCTCAAAAGGGAAAATGTAAGAGTTATTGGCCTTAAAAAGGAGCTAGAAAAAGAGACAGGGGTAGAAAGATTATTCAAAGGAACAAGAACAAGAACTTCCAAACCTACAGAAAGATATCAATATCTAAGTACAAGAAGGTTATAGAACACCAAGCAGATTTAACGCAAAGACAACTACCTCAAGGCATTTAATAATCAAAACTCCCAAAGGTCAAAGATAAAAAAGGGATCCTAAAAGCAGCAATAAAGAGAAACAAATAATGTACCACGACGTTCCAAAACGTCTGGAAGCAAACAAAAGCTTGCTGTGGAAACCTAATAGGCCAGAAGAAAGTGGCGTGACAGTGTTGTATGAAAGGAGAGAAGTTTAGCACTCCCCTTGACAAGAATGGTAGAGGCCGTCAGGCCTGACAATACACATACAGTTAAGGCATTGCCACCTACTTTGTGGCATCTAACCATTTTTTAAAGGAAATGTGGCACATATACACCATGGAATACTATGCAGCCATAAAAAAAGGATGAGTTCATGTCCTTTGCAGGGACATGGATGAAGCTGAAAACCATCATTTTCAGCAAACTAACAAAAGAACAGAAAACCAAACACTGCATGTTCTCACTCATAGTGGGAGTTGAACAATGAGAACTCATGGACACAGGGATGGGAACATCACACACCGGGGCCTGTTGGGGAATGGGGGGCTAGAGGAGGGGTAGCATTAGGAGAAATACCTAATGTAGATGATGGGGTGATGGATGCAGCAAATCACCATGGCACATTTATACCTATGTAACAAACCTACATGTTCTGCACATGTATCCCAGAACTTAAAGCATAATAATAAAAATAAGAAAGTGGCATGACACATTTAAAGTGCTGAACTGGGGCCTGTAGGTGGTGGTGGGGTGGGGGGGATGAGGGACTAGGGGAGGGATAGCATTAGGAGAAATACCTGATGTAGATGATAGATTGATGAATGCAGCAAACCACCATGCACGTGTTTACCTTTGTAACAAGCCTGCACATTCTGCACATGTATCCCAGAACTTAAAGTATAATAAAAAAAATTAATAAGTTCTTAAAGAAAAAAAACTTTTACCTGACAAAAATATCCTTCAAACATGCAGGAGAAATTAAAACTTCCCCAAACAAACAAAAGCAGAAGAATTTCAAAAGCAGTTGAATTTCAAATTTCAACACAAGACCTTTCCTACAAGAAATGCTAAAGGTAGTACTTCAATCAGAAAGAAAAGAATGTTAATGAGCAATAAGAAATCATCTGAAGGTGCAAGGCTCATGGGTAATAGTAATTATATTAATAGTTATAAATTCAGTGGCCTGATGACCTTAAGGGCTCAACTAGCTCCACTAACTAGTCAACTACCTACCCATTAGCAGCACCAGGCAAAGTTGTCATCTTCCAATGGAAATCACCTTTATTTTCCTTGGCATTGATCTGTTGTACACCATACTGTAAATATATAATGCATAATTATCTTCCCTTGTTTGCATTTTTAGCATGGGAGATGGTCAGAGCTTATATCAGGAAGATAATTCCAAGATTCTTCCCCATTTTCATCTACCATCTTCTGGGGTATAGTTGGCATGGAAAGATGGTACTATATATCTGACTATATAAATATATTTCTGGAGTATTTCCATTGCCTTTCTATATCTATTCTCTACTCTCCACTCTGAGATTTGATCTTTACTGTCTACAAGTTCCCTTATCCTCTTCTAAGTTTGTTCATAGGCTGCATGAACAGTGAATCAGGTGAGAGAAAAGGTTCTGTACAATTATCCAGCTGGCTCCCTCCCTATGGGTTACAATAGGTGAGATGACTGTTTACAGAAGTCCGCAGGTCCAGTAGGTTGACCTCTAGGTTGCTGGAAGTTACCTCCAGTTACTCAGCAAGGTTTCGTTAATTGCTCCTTCTATGATTGGTGTTGGTTCCCTGCAATTGCTAGCCCCATCATGTTTTATTACCTCTCATCAGTTTCCTTAATCCAGTAAATAAGTCTCTTAAACACTGGAAATGCTGCTTTACTGAAGTTTCCGGCTGGAGAATTCCCTTTCTTTCCTACAGGACTCTGACTGATACAGTAACTGTCTGATTAAAAACAGATAGTTGACCTTTAGCAGCCAGTTGAAAGTCTACAAATATGCTTAGTCTCTTTTCATAAACTACAAATGCTTAAAAAGTTACTTACGACCAATGCAAAAGTGTCATATATTTAACACTATTTTGAAGGCCTTTCCAAGTGCATAGTGCCAATCCACGATTCAATCCCTCCTGGCAAACGATGTTACAAATAAGAGGGAGAGAGTTTAAATTAGTGCTCTCTAGATTCAGAGTTAGGGGTTAGGCGCACTACTGCATAGAATTGAAATCAATTTCTATACTATAGAATGCCATAAAAAGTGCCCAATGTCCTCTTAATGTAACTTTTGGAATACTATTGATTGAGTGAAATTTTGAGGTCCCAGAAGTTGAACATTCACATGACCATCCTAAGTGTCCTGTCTGACTAAACCAACAACATGTCTCTGTTTAGTGACCACTATGAGTGAATTTACCTCCAGCCCTACTTGCACTACATGGATGTATGTTTTAAAATCACTTACTTATTAATGCATATTAATACATAGTCTTAAGATACACACATTGCAAAATAAAATAAGCTATGGGGTGGCATGCCAACGCTCCCACTTACTAGCTGTCTCAAAAAGTTAATCTCTAAATTTCAGCTTTCTGAAATTACAGAGGGTAATAACAATTTTTACCTCATGGATTTTGTAAGATACAAATGAATTAGTAAATCTAAGTGTTTAGCACAGTAACTCATAAAAAGCACTGACTGAATGGTTCTATTCTGTTACGCATCTCTCTTTTCCTCATAATAAGCTGTTGTGTAATAATTTATTACATAGCAGAGCACTGGAAACTTTCTTTTGTGGCTGTCACCTTCCAGGCTACCATATCTGTCCCTACAGTCACTGTATTTATTTCTGGGAATGGCATTCTAGCTGATAGAGTCCAAAAAGTATAGAATAGGAAGGAACTCTGGACATGATGTTGTCCAGCCTGCTCAGTTTAATGATAAGAAATCCAGGACCCAGATGAGTGAAATGACCTATGGGCTCACTGATGCAGCCGCCAAGCAGGAACTAGTGGTAGCGCTTCTGTTTCCCCTGCAGCTGCCCTGTTCACCACACAGTGGAGATGCCTACAGAAATGGTTTCTGAGAGCATAGCTCCTGCTCTGAGTCCGAAATCTCTCTTTGGATTACACTGCTTGGTCTTTCACGCCTATGGCCTAGTGAAGGTCCCAATCCTGTTCTCACCACCACCCACCTCAAACTGGACATTATAACATTCCAAGATAGGTGCTGAGACCTCTACTTACAGCTCTCCAAGATGCAAGCTCAAGTCGGAGCTCCTAATTTAGGCATAAATTAACTGGTTAACATTTTGAAATAAATCATTTTCTCCTGAAGCCTTCAGGGCAAAGAAATCAGAAGCATGAAGGGTAAAGACCCTGGTCAAAATCACCAGATACAAAAGATCACATACTATATGATTCCCTTTATATGGAATATCCAGAATAAGTAAATCTAGAGATAAGGAAGATAGAGTGATGGTTGTTAGGGCTGGGGGAAGGACAAATGGGGATGGAGTTTGCTTTTGGAGTGAGGAAAACGTTGTGCTACTAGATAAAGGTGATGGTTATGTATATGAATGTATTAAATGCCCCTGAATTGTATACTTTAAATTATTTTAACATTATGTGAATTTGCTTTCAATTTTTAAAAATCGCATGAATACAAGTATATTATTGTTTGCCAATGGTATCATACAATCTCAGACAATCACCTAGTCTGAGAACTCTTACCAGTTGTTTTTGTCTGTTCTTCTAGTCTGTGCCCACTTACAATTTTATTTTTATCAAGCTGTGCTCAAAAATCTTTGCAACTTTGCTGGAAGTTTCTTCAAGGAGTCAATTTTTTCTGTCTGTAAATGATTCCTTCAAGATACCAAGTGTTTCATTCAACTGATATACTGAGGAGAGCTATTGATCCATAGTTTTCTCTTCTTGTAATGTCCCTCTCTGGTTTAGTTACCAGGATCTTGCTGGTTTAGTAAAATAAGTTGGAAATGTCTTTTTTTTTCTCTATTTTCTGAAAGAGCTTATAGAAGAATTGTATTACGTTTTTCTACCACAATTTTTTAGAATATACCACTGAAGCAATTTGGGCCTGGAATTTTCTTTTTTGGAAGAATTTTTATTATAAATTCAACCTATTTAATGAATACAGATTTTCTGTTAAACAGATCAATATTTGCTTTTACTTCTTTTGTCAGTTTTACTAACTTGTAACTTTGTTAGCATTCTTATTCATTTTGAAAAATTTTAATAATTTTCTTAGGATTTCCTCTTGATCTATGATTATTTGTAAACATGTTACTTAATTTCTAAATACTTTAGGATTTTTCCAGGGTTTATTTTTTTCTATTGATTTCTATTTTAACTGTGTTGTGGTCAGAAAATATACTTGTATTATTTCAGTCTTATATAAGCCAGATAATATAATCAAAATCAGGAAGGTGATACTGACATATTCCTACCATTGAATACTCAGGGCCAGTTTTCCATTGTTCCAATAATACCTTTATAGAATGAGGACTTAGTTGAGAAACAGTCATTACATTATTTTTGGTCATTTGTTTTTTTAAGTCCGATTCAGTCTGGAAAAGTTTCTCAAAATTTTCTTGACTTTCATGAACTTGACCCTTTTGGCATTTACAGGCCAATTATTTTGTAGAATGATCCCTGATTTGGACCTGTCTAATGCTTGCTCATGACACTTGGGTGTTCTTGTTGCTTCCTGTCAGGGAATGTACAAGATCAGCATCTTCCTTCTCTTTGATCACTTGTTTAGGATCCTGTCTGCCAGGTGACATTACTCTTTCCAATTTGTAATTAATATGTATTTTGTGATAAATTACTTTGAAAGTATGTAAATGTGCTATTCTTCACCAAACATTTTATTCATTCACTAATTTATTTATATCTTTATGGTCTCATAGTTTCTTATTTAATTCAATGAATTAGAATTTACTACTGACTACATTTATTTCCCTCAAATTATCCCTGCTTAAACCAGTAGCTACTTTTGCAGTTTTTGACAGGTTCTCTGTCTCTCTCTCTTTTTTCTTTTTCTTTTTTCTTATTATTCTTTAAGATCTGGGACATATGTGCAGATCGTACAGGATTGCTACATAGGTATACACTTGCATAGTAGTTTACTGCGTCCATCCCCCCGTCATCTCCATTAGGTATTTCTCTTATGTTATCCCTCCCCACTCCCCCACCCCCTGCTAGTCCTCCCCTAGCTCTCCCACCCACCAGCAGGCCCCAGTGTGTGATGTTCCCCTCTCTGTGTCCATGTGTTCTCATTGTTCAA